TAAGCTTTCGTGAGTAAAAACCTCACTTCTTCGGATGCATCCGAAGAAGTGAGGTTTTTACTCACGAAAGCTTATGCCCAAATAAATCTGTTAGTCTTTAAGGTGCCACCAGACTCCTTGTTGTTTTTGTAGATACAGACTAACACGGCTACCCCCTGATTCCTGACCCCATGTGATGTGACCCAGGGTATAATCTGGACTGATGGAGGGCTGTGTCCCCTCAACTCTCCAACCTGGGGTGCCTTTTACCCTGCTCTTCTGTGAGAGCTACCGCTCCTGATCTGTTCTCACACAGTCCCTAGCACAGAGAATATCACAACACATTTTTTGGTGGCCTCAGTGTGGCCACCAACCGTTGCTGGTGGCCGCTCTGACAATTTTTCCTAAATTACTTTATTAATTTTAGGAAAAACAAATAAATATGTACAGATCCACATCCAAATCATTGTAATTTATTGATGTAGGGTTTTGGGTTTTTTTTGGCAGACTCAATAATAAAAGTGATGTACAATTGTCTCTATTCTTCACTGGACCTAAACAGAATAGAAACACAAAGAAGGTGCTTCGCATGTTTTGCTTTATTTGGTTGATTTTGTTTTTTAGACGTGCTAGCTAGTAAATATGCTACTGTGAAAAGGGTTGTTGGTATATTTGTTAATATCACTTTTCACAGCAGACTTAGGGCTGGTCCACACTAAGCCCCCAGTTCGAACTAAGATACGCAACTTCAGCTACATGAATAACGTAACTGAAGTCGAAATATCTTAGTTCAAACTTAAAGGTACTTACCGCGGGTCCACATGCGGCAGGCAGGCTCCCCCGTCGACTCCACCTACTCCTCTCGCGGAGCAGGATTACCGGCGTCGACAGCGAGCACTTCCGGGATCGATTTATCGCGTCTAGACAAGATGCGATAAATCGATCCCAGAAGATCGATTGCTTGCCGCCGAACCAGCGGGTAAGTATAGACGTACCCTTACTCAGCCTTTGCAAGCAGCGGGACAAATTAAGCCCTAGATGGGAAGCTGGGGAGGGAGGTAGGGAGGGCCAGGAGCAGTGGGAGGGTTGAGTCCAGGGCTGGAGCCGGAAACCCCGTGGCTGGGGGATGGAGTCCCCCGCCACACAGCCAGAGCCTGTTACCCAGCACCCCAGTGCCGAAGCCCGAGCCCCACCGCCCTCAGGAAGGTGGGGAAATCACACTGGTCCCCTGTTCATACGGTGGCCCTATTTGAGAGATGCTGCTCTAGCATGTAAATCACTCCCAGCTCCACCGTAAGAATGCTATAGCCAGCCACTCCTGAATTATATAACACCAGCAAATTCCCAGTCCCAGACTTGTCCCCAGAAATGTGCGTCCTGCACTGCCCAACTCTCTTCTTCTGGGCAATATGAGCTCATAGAAAGTCCATCATTTCATTACATTCCGAGCTTTACCAGGCAGTTTTGCAATCCGTGTGGGGACCTTGTTTTCCTCAGGAATGTTATGAACTTCACATAGGTTTTCAAAGGTGGGGATGTGCTGTTCAGTGCAGTCTGTCTCTTTGTATGCAGGACACAGCTGGGGATTCTTTGAGTGGAGGGAGCTGTTGGCGACGCTGGGAGCCGTCCATGCTTTTCGAGCAGTTCTAGCCTGTATTTCTGCTCCTTTTCCTTCCCCTCGGCTTCTTGTTTCATCTCCATGGCTCTTTTATGGGCTTCAGCTTCCAGCGCAGCGGCTGCCTCTTTCTCCTTCAGCTCCATCTCATTTTCTTCCAGTCCAATAGCTGCTTCTTTCTGTCTCATTTCTGCTTCCCACCTCTGGAACTAGCGTTCTCGCTCTCTTTTTCTGCTGCCTGCCCTCCCCCCAGGTCTAACTTTACAACTGTTTCACGGTCACTCGTTTTTATGCTTTACTGTTTCTACTTCCCTGACCCGAAATAAGCACACAGAAAGCAACAACCTGTAACCGTCCGCAATCACCACACCTGAGTCTCACTTAAAATCGCTAGACCAGTGCTTAAAATGTAAACCTCCCTTAAAACAACAAGCCGGGCATATTCCCTGCGACTCGCTGTGTCACTCTGACATTGACCAGGGTATCAGCTGGATGGATGGACAGCTGTGTCCCCTCAACTCTCCAACCTGGGGTGCCTTTCACACTGCTTCGCTCTGAGAGCAACCACTCCTGAGCCACTCAGACACAGCCGTCAGCCAGTAAATCACTCCCAGCTATACTGTATGAGTGCTATAACCAGCCACTCCTGAATTATATTACAGATTAACACCAGCAAATTCCCAGTCCCAGACGTGTCCCCAGAAATGCGCATCTTGTACTGCCCAGTTCTCTCCTTCTAGGCAATACAAGCTCATATAAAATCCATCATTTCATTAATAGAAAATGATATGCACAAACCCTGTTATCTCAAATGGAGGTTCCCAAACACTTCAATCCAAACACACTGGTTTAGATAAAACAATAGAACACGTTTATTAACTACACAAAGAAAGATTTAAGTGATCACAAGTAATGAGGCATAAATATCAGAATTGGTTACAAAGAAAATAAAAGGTAAAATGCAACTAACCTATAACTTAACAAGCTAAATGAATTCAAAGCAAAAAATTTCTTACCACATGCTTTTTTTGTTGTCTGTGCTGGCTGTGTACTGATGTGTGACACATCACCTCCATATTGGTGCACATGACAAAATTCATGTGGTGGAAGTGGGGCTGAGGAGATCGGAATGTGGGAGGGGGCTCAGGGCTGGGGCACAGGGGTGTGAGGGGTCCAGCTTGGGCTACGGTCTCTGGGATGGGGCCGTGGATGAGGGGTTTGGGGTGCAAGCTGCCCTAGGGCTACGGTGAAGAGAGAGAAAGAGGTCTTCTCCCAGCTCTCTCTCCCCGCAGCAGCACCTGGACTGGGTGGGAGAGGTGCCTCTCCCCGCCGCAGCAGCTCTGGGGTTGGAGCTGTGGGATAGGCGCCCTGCCCCCGGCCGTGGAAGGTCCGGGCTGAGGCTGGATTGGGGCCTGGGGGGGTGCCCCTCCCCTGGCCGAGGCAGGTCTGGGGCTGAGTTGGGGCTGGAGGAGGAGTGCCCCTCCCCAGCCATGGCAGGTCCTGTCTGGGCGGGTTCCCTGAGCACCTGCGTGGCACTTCATAGGCTGCGCACAGCTTACAGGGAACTTAGTCTGGCAGCCCTATGAAGGGCTCATGGGCCAGGGTCTCTGCCCAGCCCCTGGAAATAGCCAATGGGAGACGCAACTGCCAGAGGCAAACCAGGCGCTGAGCACTCACCTTGTCGGGGTCATGGAGGCCGATCCAGACGTAATCCTTGGAGCCTGACCGGGTGATATAGTTGGCCACCATGTTCCCTTCTGCTTCAGTGAGAATGGAGGCGAGATGGGACCCCCTGCGGTGATGCTGACACTGCACCTGCAGCAGGGACATCGGCGAGGCCTGTTACCCCCCTGCAGGAGGACGCTGTTTGGCACTGGTGTGGGGTCCTGCCCCACCAGGCTGCAGCCAGAGCAGGGATGGCTGTGAGGGGAGAGAGCTCCCTCTCGGTGCCTCTTCCCGAGCCCCAGGGCCTGGCACCAGCCTTCCCCACCCCACCTCTGCAGGGATACCCCGGGGCCAATGGTGATGTCACCAAACCCCTTCAGCCCCTGCCCACTAACCCACCCCGCCCAGTGGATCCCTGAGAAGAGCCTCATACCTCAGCTTCTGACCAGGTCTTCTTTTCGGGGAAGAACCTATAGCATTGGTAGTTGTAGTGCAGCCAGCCACGACGACAGGATGTGGTCCGTATTCCTCGTCCAAGACGGGGAGAGAGGACAGTGTGGGGAGCAGCTGTTTTGGAGAAGAGAATGGGAGCAGAGCTGTCAGTTGTCATCATTCTAGCTTATCTGGATCTCCAAAAATGCTGTGAAATTTTGTCCTCTGTCAAAATGGCCACTATCTCCTATGACTTTCAATGGGGCTGAAGCCACTCAGTTAAAACAGCTGCCACTTCCTTGCCACCTTTGTCTGTGGCCGTGCGTCTGACCTACTGAAAATTACCACTGTCTTCCTTCCAAGGGGACAGGAACTGGGCTGTCCTCAAGGAAGATGGTCACCTCCTATCTTCTGTGCAGCATTGGGGAACCTGACAGGGTGAGATATCAAGGGGGTTGAGTCAGAGTACACAGGGGACTATGGGGTAAGGGTGGGGAGCACTGGGTGTCATGGGGAAACTGGTGAGGCTGGGAGCAGAGGGGAGGTTGCGGACATTGGCATATAGTAGAGGCTGAAGGGACACCACACACCGATTTGCCAACCTAGTGAGCAGGGTTTAGAAGTAGGTTCAAAAGGGGCGGGTGACAAAATCCCACAGGTGACCTTATCAGAAGGCTAAATGTTGGGAGGGAAATGGATAATTACAATTGAATCATAGTAGCAACAAGAGGGATAATAGTGCGGGAATCTGCTGTACGTCTCAGATGTCTATATACAAATGCAAGGAGTATGGGGAATAAATGGAAGAACTGGAAGTATTAGTATATAAGCTACATTATGACTTAATCGGCATCCCAGAGACTTGGTGGGATAAATCTCCTGACTGGAATATTGGTAGAGAGAGGTATAGCTTGTTCAGGAAGGACAGGCAAGCATATTAACTGTCTTTTAAAAGGGGAATGAAGAAGATCTGGGAAATTATAGACCAGTAGCTTAACTTTGAAACCTGGAAATACACTGGACCAATTTATGAAACAATGAATTTGTAAGCATCTACAGGATAATTAGGTTAAAAGAAAAAGCCAACATGGAATTGTCAATATCAAATTATGCCAAGCCAACCTAATTTTCATCTTTAACAGGGTTACTGGCCCCATGAAGTGGGGGAAGCTGTAGACTTGGTATATCTTGGTTTTAGTAATGCTTTTGACAGTCCCACATGATGTTCTCATAAGCAAACTATAGAAATGTGATCCAGATGAAATTACTATGAGGTGGTTGCATAACTGGTTGGAAGACCCTACTCAAAGAGTAATTGGGGAGGTGTACTTGTTTACTGTCAAACTGGGCCAATATGTCTGGTGGGGTACCCCAGGGGTCTCTCCTGGCTTTGATACTGTTCAACATTTCCATGAATGACTTGGATAATGGAGTGGAGAGTACGCTTATAAATTTGGTGGATGACACCCAGCTGGGAGGGTTTGCCAGTACTTTGGAGGACAGGATTAGAATCCAAATGGCATTAAGAAACTGGAGACTTGGTCTGAAATCAACAAGATGAACTTCAATCAAGACAGGTACAAAGTACTTCACTTAGAAAGGCAAAATCAAATGCACAACTACAAAATGGGGAATAACTTGCAAGGCGGTAGTACTGCTGAAAGAGATCTGGAGGCTATAGTGGACCACATATTAAATATGAGTCAACAATGTGGTGCAGCTGAGAAAAAGGCTAATATCATTCTGGGGTGTATTAACAGGAGCGTTGGATGTAAAACACGGGCGGTTATTGTCCTGCTCTGCTCGGCTCTGGTGGGGTCTCAGCTGGAGTTCTGTGTTCAGGTCTGGGTGCCGCATTTTCAGAAAGACGTGGACAAGATGGAGAGATTCCAGAGGACAACAACAAAAAAGCTAAAAGGTTTAGAAACCTGATCTGTGAGGAAAGTTTAAAAAAATGGACATGTTCAGTCCATAGAAAAGAAGACTGAGGAGTGACCAGAGAACAGTCTTCACATCTATTACGGGCTGTTATAAAGAAGATTGTGATCAATTATTCTCCATATCCACTGATGGTAGGATAAGAAGTGTAGTGAGTCGGTGTGGCTCCCCTCCTGCCCAGAAGAGGGAGCACCCTTGCAGGCACCGGAGTGGGTGGAGCCACCGCCGCCTGTCCCCACCCCCCGGAAGTCAAGGGGCAGGACAGGAAGTATAAAGGCCGGCCGCCAGAGCTCAGTCAGCCGCCAGCCACCACAGGGAGCAGATGTGCGGCCGGGAGCTCCCGGCCGGGAGACCTCCGAGGCCCGAGGCCAGGGCCCTAACTGGCCGGAGCTGCCCTGGACCCACTACGAGGAGGAGCTGCCGGAGCCCGTCCGCTCCCGTCGTTGGGAGGAACCCTTGGAGCCCCCCCACACTAACCCTGAAGGCGAGACCGCACCAGAGCCCCTCCGCCCCTGCTGCTACCCGGAGGAGCCGCCCGAGTGCAACTGGCCTGATTTCCCGACGGAGCTGCCGGACCTGCCACCAAGCCCTGGCCGATAGGAGCCCATGCAGCTGGACTGGCCCGAGCCCGGTGCCACGAACGAGGTAGGCCCTGAGGGGGAACCTGGAAGTAGCCCGGGGATAGCCGACCCCGGTCAGGCTGCAGACGAATGTGAGCCAATGTCAGTGTGTTGCGGTCTGGATACCCCACTGACCAGCAGCGGTAGTAACCGCTGCTAGGGCCCCGGGCTGGAACGCAGTGGAGTGGGTGGGCCTGCGTTCCCCCCTGCCACCCCGCTCACGGGTGGCAGGCTTCCCCCTCACCCAACGCTCGGCTGTAGGAGCCTGGGCTCCGTAACTGTTTGCTCGCTCAGCCCCTGCACCAGAGGGCCTGAGCTGTAACTGTGTGTGCCCCGCCCTGATCCAGGGCCTGGGCTCCCTAACTGTTTGCTTGCTTAGCCCCTGCACCTGAGGGCCTGAGCCTTGAACTAACTGTTGTCAGCTCGGCCCCTGTACCTGAGGGCCTGAGCCCTGAACTAACGGTTGCCTGCTCAGCCCCTGTCTGAGGGCCTGAGCCCTGAGCTAGCTGTCAGTTTTGCTCCGCCCCTGCACCGGAGGGCCGGAGCTTCTGAACTAACTGGCTGTTTATTCCAGCAGTAGTGAGTCGGTGTGGCTCCCCTCCCGCCCAGGAGGGTCGAGCCCCGGCACGGACCTATTACAAGAAGCAATGGGCTTAATCTGCAGCAGGGAGATTTAGGTTAGATTTTAGGGACAACTTCCTGACACCTAAGGGTAGTTCAGCTCTGGAACAGGCTTCCAAGGGAGGTTGTGAGTTCCCTGTCACTGGAGGTTTTTAAGAACAGGTTGGAAAAACACCTGTCAGGGATGATGTAGATTTACTTGGTCCTGCCTCAGCGTGGGGGGCTGGACAAGGTGAGCTCTGGAGGTCCCTTCCAGCCCTACATTTCTACGATTCTCTGAGAGCTGAGGGCCCAGAGAGGGAAGGGAAGGCAGAGAGCTAGTGACAGATGGGAGGGGGAGGGATTAGCAGTATGTGGAGTAAGTGCAGAGATTTGTGGGTATACGTAAGGAAGGGGTGCCGGGGAGAGAAATACTCTGTGGATCCCAGGATTTTTGTTTGCACAGGGTTTGGATTATCCATAGCACAGGGATGAAGCTCACGGAGAGGAGCCATTTTGATCCCAGTGAAAAGAGATGGCTGTCACTTGTCTGGGATGTTATTGGCACATACTGTTCCATGGTTGGGAGAGGACCCCTCTGCCCCGATGGGGAAAGTCCACCTCTAAGCCGCAGCAGATGGGGGCGGGTTTAGCTCCCAGCCTGTCTCTCACACTCAGCCCCAGGAGGTCTCAGGGATTCCCTCTGCACTCAGAGCCAGGGGCAGCAGGAAGCCGCCTTTCTCCTCAGGCAGGTGCTGAACCGCTGGTTG